GTTTGTGACAGCTGGGTGGAGAAGATCCCAGGTGTAAGCAGCCCTGTGGGTTATTAACCACAGAAATGTGGTATGGAGATCTTGGTATTCAGCCACAAAATGTATGCATATGACTGGCAGGCAAGGATTTCAGAGTTTTAAATAATTTAAGTGTGTGGATAAGGATGATCATGTGGTAAAAATTGTTGTTTTTCTTTTTACTCGCTGTGAAATTGTCTCTAAGTTACACAAATGAAGAAATTCCTTATCAGGCAAGAAGGATGCTTTCTGGCTCCTCCACCTCGGTGTAACATGTTCATATTCCTGTGGTGTGCAGGGAGGATTCACATGTGGTGTTAGACTTTTTCTAATCATAATTTTGATGGCGTTCTTCCCAGTCCAATCCAATTACAGCCTTTTCTTTTGTTAATAACAGTGGGGCTGTTGGTGCAACCCCAGGCACAGCTGAGGACCCCAGCGTTGTTGTGTTGTGTTGTGTTGGTTTTCTGACCGGCATTGAAGCATAGATCCTCAGAGGTACACGTTTGGTTCCTTCTGTCTCCCATGAACCCTGGCAGCAGTGTCTTCCCCTTCTGTCATCTGGGGGTGCTGCAGTGGCACTGCTAGGCCCTTGCCCATGGAGGGAAGGTGTTTCAGAGATGATAACTCTGCTTTTTTAAATAGCTGTTACGGAAACCCCTGCCCAGCTTAGGGCTGTTTTGCTCTGTGCAACCCTGGCAGAGCAAGGACAAGGGGCTGAGAAGGAAGCAAGCCAGCATGCGTGGGCTGGAAAAATCCAAACTCCCTTACAGGTAGCGGCGGCATGCAGCGTTGCACTCGCAACATGGATCAGATTTGTTCTCATTTGCTTGAGATTGAGTGATCAAGGGAAACAAGAGCAATCTGTGTGGAATGGGCAACCGAACCCTGCTTCCAGGGGACACATAACGTGCAGAGAACTGACATGGCCCAATGTACCGTGACAGTTCTGCTGAGCCCGCTTGGAGAATTTGGGTATGAAGATTTTCTATTTATTTCTGCTTTCTATGCAGAGATAGAATTTCTCTGGAAGTCTCTAAAAGACAAAGCCCAGTAATGAGTCTGCTGGATGTGTAGCCCCAAAATCCCTGGAACCTTCTGTAGTTAATGCTCTTCCAAGTCCCCTCTCCTGCCTCCCCCAGATTGGGGGGGTTTTGTTGAGGTCCATTTGCTGCGTGCGGTGCAGGCACGCTGCTGGAAGACGGGAAGGATGACAATGTGCGATTTCCTCAAGTTTCCAGTAAAAGTACAACTGAAAAAGTGAATCACAGCTTCCCCTCTGGAGCTCCTTGAAGACTCAGAGAAAGGAAACCCAGCTTTCCAGAGCCTGGATACACAGCGATGGCTTCAGAAGAGAGGAATGAAGGAGGAGAAATCCTGCAGCTTCTCCTTCACGTACCCTGGACGAGCTGGGTCCATCTGGGTGCTCAGCTGAGCTCAGCTCCTGTCCCCGGTCACCAGCCTGTGCAAAGCCTTGCCCACCTTGTGCAGAAGGGAAAAACGCCCTACATCATCTGGATGGATCTGTCACCATACAGTGATCACAGCCAGGCTCACAATCCTGGGGATGGAGAAGCATCAGCTGTAGCTGTGTTTAGTCTTGTTTCAGCTCCAGCTCCTAGAAGGCTGATGGGAGTATCAGTGATAAAAATAATTTGTGGTGGTAGTGATGTACCATCATGGGAGATGAATAGCATTCAGGAGGCGGGCAGGAACCTGGAATCTCACCCCCACACTTCCCCCTCCAGGGGACTGTACAGATTGGGGTGAAATACAGCGATGTGGTGGCTCTGGAGACTTGTGTAGCTGTTGTCTGCTCACACCCACGCAACCACGCAATAGCAGATGGCAGCATCCTGGTTCAGTCTGACACTTTCCCGAATGCTAAATGTTAGTTTATAAGGGAATGGAGAAATTAGAAATTCAATAAGACCTGGGAATTCTTGCAACTTTAAAGCAGCTCTACAAATGTAGAGAGCAAGGCTGACAGATCACTACCAGGTGAAAAAACATTTTGATAAAATATGTGAGCATATGCAAGTAATCTTTTGAGAATCACATTGAATCTTTTATAAAACAAATTGTGGGATGAAAGGTGTCTGCAACTTTTATTTTTTTAGTTATGTCTTATTATGTGTCCATTTCCCACAAAGCCCTGTGTTGAAGGCCTAGCACTCACCTAGGTAAAGTTATTTTACTTAGAATTGTCCTAGCAGCCTTTAAAACACAGAGTGTTGTTAGTGCAGGGTAATGATTTCCACATAGCTGACTTTAATCCCATACAACACATCTGAAAACACTTTTCCCATCCTTGAGCTGTAAATTAAATGACTCAGAACGTTTGAGTGCGAAGTCTGATTTCTCACCCATTACGTTACATAAGTGTGATTAGTTTTTGCTGTTGTTGCCTAAACACAAAGCTCTGTTGGTAGTGTGAACCTGCTGCTAGGGTGGTTTGGGGTGGTTGTGCTGACCCTCAGGTCCTTGTTGCTCCAGGGCTCGCTTGCCTCCCCTGTCCTGTGAGGCTAAAGGGGACTCACTGGCGCTGCTGGTCCTGCTGGGGATGTGGGCACGGAGGTGTTCCTGCAGCTGGGGTCAGGGTGGGAGCTCAGAGCATCAGCTGCCGTGGCATCTCACTCGTGGGCAGTCACCTCATAGTTATTTTGGATAACCTCATGTTCAGGTGTTCCTCTGGAAAAGAGGGAGTCTTCTTGCATGAGTGTAGATGCTCATCAAACATGCAGCTTGCATTTTTCTTTGATGAGGCTGGTGTTTCTCCCAGTCTCCTTTGCTTTGCCTTTAAAAGTGACAATACTCCCGAAATTGTGCTGTATGAGCTTAATTTGTGTTCAAGTAGAAGCTGTGGTAGGGGTGAGTCTAGCTTTGCTCAGGCCACTGTGGCTGCTCTGTGAGGCTGTGTTATACCAAGAACTTTTGGTCACTGAAGAAAGATGAGTGAAGCTTTGAGTTTAATCATTAAAACCGCTAACTGCAAACGGCTTCTACATACAAACTGAAGTCTGACTGTGTCTTTCATTAAGTGTGAGGATGCCCTGGAGGTGTTCAAAATACATGTAGATGTGGCACTTCAGGATGTGGTTTAGTGGGCATGGTGGTGTTGGATTGATGGTTGGTCTTGATGATCTTTAGAGGTCTTTTCCAACCTTAATGATTTGATGATTCTATGCCTATAATGATTTCTGGAGAACACAGGGTTAGCCACTTTGTGGTACAGCCAGGGTGATCTTTGTTCATTTAGGAGTGTGAGGAACTGGGATGCTCCAAGTAGAAAGCATCCAAGTTGGCAGCATCATGAAGAGCAAATTTGCTGCTGCTGCTCTGATCTTTTGCAAGCAGAATCACTTTCTGAATCTCAGTTCCTATTTACTGGCAAATTGAAGTCTTCAGGGATCCTTTAAGCTGAGTGAAGGAGAGTGTTGCAGCCTCCCCTTCTCAGCAGCAGTGGGAGCACATGTTGGTGCAAGATAAAAAACATGGAAATTATAGTGATGATCTCTGCCAATGCAGTTGGGCATTTTCATTGTTCTGGGCCTCCAGATGAAATTCTCAATGTGGAAGCAATATATACAGTAATGGATCATGGCAAAATGTGAGTAGATATTGCTAGGAATGCTGCCGTTCCTGGGAAGTCCAGCTTCCTTTATGCCACTAAAAAACAGTTGGACAGACCAACGTAAAGTCAATTGTCCCTAAAATCAAATAATTAAGTAAAGACAATTTATCAGAACAAGACATCAAGCTATGAGAAAGAGTACGTTTTTCCCTGTTGAAAAAGCTGGCACGGCAGTATTGAGCAGTGGTTTTGAACAAAAAAAAGCTTGAGTTCTCAAGGGATGG